GACTTCATCCAGAGAGCACAGAGCTCCAGTACAGCTCACATCACCCCACAATTTACTTTTATATTATCCTTACAAACTTATCACAAAACCGTTTAAATCGATTTTAAGAAACATCAAAAATAAGATTGTTCAAAACTTTCCTAAAAGGGAACTTCCCTACCAACCCGTCACCTTGTTAATACAGTCCTGCGCGGAACCTGCAGCCTAGACACCCGGCCGGAGCCACCTGTCCGCCGGCACTCCGGGAATCAGCTGGGTACCCCGGCTTCCAGAGCCCCAGGAGCCCGCCGGCTCTTACCTCCACGCCGAAGAAAATCCCCGTCCGGACCGGGCTCGGTTTCGCACCATCCCGGACACGACCTCTCTCATGACTCTCGAGGACAGACCCCGGACGCACAGACCCCTCCGTCACCCACGGGCACTGCCAATACGGCGGCTTACCTGCACAGCGTCGCTGGCCATCCTGCGAGTCCCAGCAGAGCGGGAAGCGAGAGAGGCTTCACCCGCAGCAGCGCTGTGTGTGTCCGGCGCGCAGCCTCCTGCCTCCTGCCTCCTGCCTCTCTCTCTCTTTCCTGGGAGTCCGTCTGCGTCACCAGCAGGGCTCAGACAGGCTCTCGCCGCAGCCCGCCGGGTCTCCGCCGCCGCCCCGTCGCCACCCGCAGTCACCGCGGCCGGAGCCCCCGGCGCGCTGCCTCATGTCCTCCCCGCCGCCCCGCTGCCGCCTCCGCCCCCGGCGACACACGGGGGACCCGCACAAAGAGCCGGGACGGCGCGAGCGGTGCCCGCCGAGTCACAGCCGCGCCGCGTCAGGACGCAGGACTGTTGTTTCCCAGAGGCACGTGCAAGGCGCCCCGTGCCGCTGTCCACGCGCACCGCAGAGGAGGCACAGCCGGTGAGCTCGCGGGGCCGGGCAGGCGGACAGAGACAATCCGCATCGGTGTCAGACTGGAGCTCCTCTCCTCTCCTCCTCCTCCTCTCTCTCTCTCTCTCCCCCCTCCTCCTCCTCCTCCTCCCTCTAGCGCGACTTCGCAGTCACAGCCCAGCGAGCTCCGCAGAGACTCATCAATCCCTTTATCCGACCGCGAAAGAAATGAAACCCCCCAGTTTTCAGAATCGGCGAGGCGTTTTCTCTCTCGCTGAACTGGAACTTCTCAGCTGCTGTTTTGTTTTATTAAACGGTGTAGGAGGGTAAAATCTGAGTTTGTTGTGTCTTTCCTTTGGGCTGATGATCCTCGAGCGCCGTCTAACTGCCGCTGCTGTGGCTCGAGCGGGCTGGGGCTGGTCACTCGAGCGGAGCTGCAGATGGTGCTCGAGCCGGATAGGGCGAGCGCGTGGAGGTGACGGGAGCGCGCCTGAGGAGGTCATGTGACCCGTCGGTATTTTTCTTCTGCAGATTAGTGGCGTTTTATTCCTGCCACAAGAGAACATTGTTGCATTAAAGTCATGTAAATAGCGCACACTGACTAATTTTGGAGTATTATGTGGTCTGAAATACCTCTGTATTTTTTACACTCACACTCGTACAAAGGCACATTCTCGAAACTTCGCATTGTCAAATTTGCGGTGCCAGTTCCCCCTCACCCTCATTCTGTTGTTACTGACTGTTCCTTACACCCCTAAACCGGACTTCTCACGGGGTGACGCCAGACCGGAAGAAACAGTGTGGGCTCCTTCGGGTTTCAAGAAGAAAGTCCTCTCAGAGATTTCAAATTCAGTTTAATTGGCCTGACTGGTGAATTACACAGTGTTGCCAAAGCAGACACAATCAATACAACATCTACAGACATTTCCAATACAGACCCATCACTGGACAGTGCCTGTCTGTCAGCAGTTACTGTCTCAGTGAGCAGAGACACTGGAGAACCTGAACACACTCACGCACACACAGTCACACGCTCCCTGGTCCCTATGGGCTGTGAGGCAGTGGGGTGCCTGTATGTCAGGGACAGAGAGACAGGAAATACGTTACTGTCCTTTCCTGCTCACAGGAAGTCTGTCTGTTTCACTTTTTACCCAACACTCCACTCCAGCCCTGCACACTTACTGCAGTTCAAACACACACACTCCTAAATACAAACAACCACACATGAACAAGTACATCAAGCGCACTGCCAACGCCTTCGCCACACACACTGAGAGGTGGACACATTGTTAATACCAACACAAACTCAGGAAAGAAAATGCTCCATGCAAATTGGAAATTTGCTTCTTGTCAGATTCACCCAGAGCAGTGTACAGTGTACAGAGGCTGCAGAGAGTCCGCAGTGCTGGGGAAGTTCAGACACTACTCTTGTTTTAGAGGAGGGAGAGAGTGAGGGGG